TGAGGACCACCTCTTCTTCATACCTGAGGAGAGAGAGCACAGCTGAGGGCTGTGGCCGGCTAGTGAACCCTAGGTTTTCAAGACTCTCTGCTTCTGCCCATGACTTTCTGGGTGCCTTGGGAGAAGAGGCTAGCCTCTCTGGATTTCTATTTCCCAGACATAATGAACCCACCAGAGGACACTGAACATGGAGTCCAAGTCCCTGGTTTCTGGTCTAAACTTGGAAGTGAGGTCCCTGCAAAACCTCAGGCCATTTACTCCGCCTGCAACTTGGGTTCAATTGCCTGGTAGGCAGTAAGGCACTCAGTAAGTCTGTGGGATAAATGAGTGACAGTTGCTCCAAGGAGCCCTACAACCCTAAAATTATACAAAACATAAAGCTCCGTGAAAGCCATTCCCATGACGTTCCTTTCCCCCTCCCCCAACATCCAAGGACTTGAACTACTGGGAGCGACCCGCTCTGCCCAGCCTGCTGGAGGCATCTCCACAGTCCTCCTCCACCAGCCTTTGGTTCTTTCTTGCCCGTGAGGACTTATCCCTGGAGCAGCCCTGCCCGAGCCAACAAGAGAGACCAGCGTTCCCAGAGCACGGTTTTCACAACTTTGTAATTACAGGCAATTAGGCTCCTATAAACTCTGAGCTCTGTGATTACTGGCCCACACACTCCTAGAGTAGGAGACAGACTTTGGCACCTGCAAACAGAATTGTGTCTGCATTTGCATCCCCCCAAAGGAAGTGAAGACCTATTGCTGGGTCCATCTGGTGGTAAAACCTGACCTTCCAAGATCAGAATTCCAATTAGAATGACCAGAGCTAATTATGACAAAATCACCTTTCAGTCTGTCCATGTCTACCAGATGAAGTGGGGCAAGTTAAGTGATCCAGCGAGTAAAACTAGATAATGGCCAAACTAAACAAGTCAGGTTAAAATAAAAGATTTACCTGGACCTTTGAATTGTAGAGCCTTGCATAACAAAAGCCTAATGATTTATCTGCAGCATCAATAAAAGAAGTATTCAATTTCATCAGATATCCTTAATGGCATCGGCCTGATCATTTTCAAGAATTCTCTTCCGGGATGTTTCCTTTCCACCCATCCTGGTGCCGACTGCTGTTCCCATGTTCTGCTTTCCAGCCTGTTGACCATGGTCCTCCTGTTTCATTTGCTCTCTCTCCATCTCTGGGTCAGTCTGTGCCCTGGGCAGGTGCCCCATCCCTCCCTGCTGGGAGCACCCCTTCTCTCCAGATTGTTGCTAGGTCTCCAAGATAACCTGCAGGAGCTGGGAGCCCAGACAAGACGGAGCAGACTGATAATGCAAACCATCTGATTGGTAGCCTGAAAGGACCCTGATCTTCAACCATGTCTGCCAGGATAGTTGTATTGACCCAGCCAAGACCTACCCCATTCCTATAACCACCCCTGGCCCTGTCATGCTTACCTCTTCTTGTAGCCCTCCAGCACCTCCTGCACGTGGTTGAGCTCCGAGGCCAGCCTCCCGCTGTCAGTCTCCACACACTCGGCCTCCCGCCTCAGCGTCTCCATGTAGCCATTGAACAGCGGCTCCAGGTTGCTCTCGCAGCAGCTTGCTGGTTCTGGTAGTACTGCCACTTGGTCTCCAGCAGCTTGTTCTGCTGCTCCAGGAAGCGCACCTGTCACCGAGGGTGAAGAAAAGAGACTCAGTGGGAAGTCTAAGGAAGTTTAGGGTCCCCCAGAACTCTCTCTGCCCTTTGGGATGGCCCCTGACCTGTAGCAGCTGTGACCTTTCCCCAAAGACCAAATCATTTACAAAGTCTGAAAGTACAGTTCACAATTGTTCCCCAAATAACTTCCCCTCCCCGCACCTCCCAGAAAGAGCACACAATTTATTTGTGATTTGTTTATTCTGCACAGAATAAAATAACATCTGATCCTGAAAAAATAGCACAAACCATATGTAGTAGGTAAAAAATGGCCCCTCAAAGATGGCCACTTCCTAATCCCTGGAACCTGTAAATATGTTGTATTACATGGTAAGAGGGATCCTGCAGATGCAATTAAGGTTACAGACCGAAGATCAGGAGCTTATCCTAAATTATCCAGGTGGCTCCCACAGTAGTTGCCTTTCAAAGTGGAAGAGGAAGGCAGAAGGATGAGAGAGATGCCCGGAAGAAGGAGGCAGAGGAGAGAGTTCAAACAGGAGAAGTGAGAAGCATGCAACCACTATCACCAGCTTTAAAGACGGAGAAAGGCCTATGAGACTAGGAATACGGGCAGCCCCTAGAAACTGAGAACACCTGCCTGTCGATCAGCCAGCAAGGGAACAGGGATCGCGGTCTGATCACCACATGGAACTCAGTTCTGCTAGAGGCCTGGATATCCCTGGAAAAGGGCCTCCAGAAAGAAATGCAGCCCTCCTGCCGGCTTGGTTTCAGCCTCATGAGATAAATGTATGTTG